GAAACCGTGGGTGCGTGATTCAGGATGTGATGTTGTGTGGTTCTGATCTGTAACAATCAGCAAACTGTGTTAAAGAGTGTGTGTTTCTACTAAAATGGAAATATTTGTCTGAAGCTCCTGATACCCAAAATGATTGGCATGGAAGTCCCAAAGGAGAAGATGGATGGAGCCTTGGAAGACCTGAACAACTCCCTGAACCTCATTGAAGAAAAGTTTCTCCAGGACCGCCTATTCATTGGGGGGGATCAGATCTCTCTGGCTGACCTGGTGGCTATAGTGGAGGTCATGCAGGTGAGCTGAATGTTCATGGTCATTGTTTTCTTAGCTGAGGGATGGACCTGACAACAAAAGCTGCAGCAGAATGTAAAGCTGCATTTTTTTTGGAACAAGGTTCAAACAAATACAAAAAGGATTTCTTGTAAGTGTCTTGGGGTAGAACTGCTCCTCTTTCACAACATAAAGTCAGCTGGGGAGTTTCAGACATTAGTAACACTTCCTGAATGCGTCTGTGGAAGTTCCCTAGACTCTCTCTTCCACTTTAAGTGAAGATCTGGATGCCCTGCAGGGAGTGTAGGTTTAATCTAAAGTCACAAGGTGCATTTCCATCACCTTTTCCTAATATAATTTTAAAGTCAGAATCTTTAGCAACGTTCATATCAAGAAAAGCTTGATGGAAATGGAAATATTGGATAAAAGGTTTCATGTTACTCTACTTCTGGTAGAAAATAAATCTTCTGGTTTTTGTCCTGATTTTTTCTTCATTAGCTTCTGATAAGTGAAAATAGATGGAATTTTACCCTTTATATTTATTTGTATGTATTATTCTAGTAGGAACTGTATTAGTTAAGTTAATATAATACTAACTGTATTATTAAATTTAAATGAAAAATAATGAGGTACTGAATTTTTAAAGCAACATTTGAACCACAGTAACACTGCTATAAGAGGAAGGTATGGGCTATTTTACAATCCCTGCTGACCCACCTTTACACTGGGTCTTCAGAGAATAAAGGTCTTAATCAGCCTGAATCTGGGACATTATTCTCATCCGTGAATTCATCTCCTGTAGATCCACCCTAACATTCCACTCATCTTTCCTTCCATTAGCCAGTCGGTGCCGGTTTGGACGTTTTCAATGGGAGACCCAAGCTGAGCGCCTGGCGGGACAGAGTACGGGTCTCCATCGGCACGGAGCTGTTTGACGAGGCCAACCGGGACATCCTGGGTGCTCAGGAGATTATGGGACAGATAGATCCCGGCACATTGGAGCTTTTTAAGCCTAAAATCCTCAGATTTTACTATTGAGACGGACAACATTGATGTAACCCAAAAGAAAACTAAGCAGCTGTTAGGCGTCATAATAAAACCTCATCTTTCTGTTTAGGTTTATATTCTAATGGTCCCATTGACCAGGAGATAAACTGAAAGATTATGTAATTGAGGAATGTGAAATTTAATGCTTCTCTAAGGCCTCTGGAATGTTGGTTATTGGCTAACCTTCAGTGCGACTTCTTTTTTTTTTTATAACCAGACTATATTCTAATGCTTTATCCTATGGTATTTCTCTTATTAAATAAAATGTACTCCATGTAACACATGGTCTTATCTTGTTTTTTGCATTTTTGAACAAAGAATGATAAACATGAATCGCATTTTCTCTCATTATAGAGCTATAGATAAATATTGGGGAAATGCTGCCATCTTGTGGAGGATTGTTCCTTGGACCTTTAGTAAAAAATATATTTAAAATCCGTTCCGAACTTTTCAAGTTATCCTATAGTCTATAGACCAGTGTTTCCCAATCAGTCTATCTAGAAATTAGTGAAAATGTCCTAAATTAGCTGAATTTACTCTTAATTTGAGCAGGTAAATAAAATCGTTTGCCATCGGAATGTGTATTTTTACTCTTAGAGTAAGATAACTAGATAATATGCACTGAAATAAGACAATGCAGTTGTTTCTTTCTTATTTTCAATGTAAATAGTCTAATTTCATTGGCAAAGTGTCTGTCTTACCTCCTCAATTCAAGAAAAAAATGCACTTTTATTTTTTTTTATGAACTTATTTAGATTTACATTTTTTCCAGTGTGGGCATTTTGTCTTACCATTATTACCCCTCTCAGTCAAAAGTATTGATGACTGCCTAAAAGTGGAAAGTACAATAACTAATTATAAAATAAAAAAGTATTTTATTTAACCTTTTTTATCTTGCGCATTTCATTCTATGGTCTGATATTTTTTCCAACTATAATAAAAACATAAACATGTTGCCCTGAAGTTGGTTGAAAGAATAAAAATCAATACAAAATAAAATCATGCTATAAATCTGCCTTTATAAAACTGGAGCTCCTCTGAGTAACTCCCCTACAATCACATTTCTTATTTAAAATGGGGGGGATTGGAAACTAAATGCTGAACAAAAATCATAGTCAGACTGACTCCATTTGTTTTACTTTGTTTTCAACATTCATTACATCTCTGAGCTGCTTTGGAGAGCTCAGCTGATCTCAGGCTGTTCTTTACATCCAGTCTGTTCCTCTGCTTGGTTTTGATTTGTGTTAAAGCTGCAGGTAAAATCAAATATATAATAAAAACGTAATTTTTGGTTGAAAAAAAAGCTTGGTTTATTTTTCAGTTGGGTCCTCACAAAGTAGAACTAATTCCAGCCCTATTTTATTCTTTTACCTGATAAATTAATTATTTCCATGCACCCTTTGCAATGCATTCTTGGACTACTAAGGGTACGAGAACCACCAGTTGGGAATCACTGCTGTACATAGACAGACAAACATACAAACTCACCTAAAACATAACCCACTTGGCGAAGGTAATAAGAGCAGGTGTGGATTTAGGAAATTTGGGGCCCTAGGCAAAGACAGGCAGAGGGCCCTTTGAATTAAGAAGACAACACATAAAACACACCCATTATACAGATACAGGATTTTTAATAGAATAGAAATATATTATTTGTTCTATGTTATGTCCCTCTCTTCTTGTACCTTTGTAATAGGAACAGAGTATTTAAAACATAAAAAAACTTCAAAATACAACATGTATGTTAAAATGTTAGTTGGCTGCAGTGATATAAGTCCAAAAGTAGCTGGGTGAAAGGAACATGAGAGAATGCTTCTAGGATGCAGCAGTTTGGGTTTATTCAGGTATTATTGGTATGATTTTAATTTGTGCTTTAACATTTTAAAGATCAGCGAATCAGGAAATCCTGGTGACCCACAGAAACAGTAGCTGACTTACAGGTAGCAAACAGGATGACAAAGTTAAATGATTATTGGAAAGAAAAGTATTCAGCCAAACACTCCACAAGGTGGCAGCATTTCCCCTTTTTTTCTTTTACAGTTACTAACTGTAAAAACTAAGCAGCATAAACCTTTACACAATAGAAAATCTTATTTGAATGATAAAAAATAATCTACAGAACAAAGTGTCAACAGGACCTGTGGCTTGTTACAAAATTAAACAAAAAAGGCATTTCTATGTCTAAAGAGCTCAGTTTTCTTTTCAGGTAAACCAATACTCATAAGGATAAACTGAGCAATACAGGCTTGTAGGGCTCCAGTTACTAGGAGCTATTTAATTGCAGAGACCACTATAGGGGCAGGTACTAAAAGTAAAAGAAAAAAACTGCATATAATTAGACTAATGCAGGATATTATTTATATTCTCACCAAGTTGTGTAACTGATTATTAAGCAAACTTTGGAAAAGCTATAGTTTAGAGTAAACCACCATACATATTTGTATTAAATATTTTATTTCAATCAGATTATTTAAACACTCAAACTTGCATGTGAACAAAATCTTTACATTTTAATTTAGATTACTAAAATGTTTTGATAGAAATACATTGGTAAAATATAATCGAGGGACAAAATACAACTTTTTATTTACCATTATAATATTCCTAGTATTAAATAAAGCAGACTGGATGTTATAACATTAAGCCATTGTCTGATTGATCACTAAATTCTCAGATTCAAATATCCTCTGATCTCCTTTTTTAGACTAACATTCCACTTTGGTTTTAAATGCAGGAAAACTGCATTAGACATGCAGTTCAACCAGTTCACTTTTGTGTTTTAATTTAAATAGTTGTTTATATAGACAATCCTAAACTGTAAACGATTAGCTAATAATTTGATTAATTACTTTTTTTGTTAGAACCACAATTTTGCAACCACAATTTTGGTTGGAGAGACAGTGTTAGTACTCAAAATGCTTTATGGACCTCAGACCTAACAAAGCAACATGTAAATGTCATGTAGAGTCTAAGTTTAAGTGCATAATATTGCATACTGCGCATATGTGACGCAGCTTTGAGTTCTATGCACGCAGCGCGTGATGTACGTCAGTCACTGAAGCAGTCTGTACGTGCTACGTCATCAGTCGGTCGTGTCTGTGTTCAATAAACTATTTTTCGCTAGAAAATACTGTCGTCCAGCGAGCGTTACTTGAGACGTAAACGCCACAGTAAACACGGAAGCAATTGAAAACATTGGGTTAGCATTTCAGCATTTCTCCGGTAAATTTGAGACAAAATTACCAGGATGGAACATCTGTAATGTTTATCCATGCTTGGTTTGCAAGGGGTGCTGATCTCCAGCTTTCTACTGGCGAGGGGTGGGGTCCACCCTGGACAGGTCACCAGTCCATCACAGGGACAAACAGGATAAACAACATTCACGCACACACTCACATCTAATGAGAATTTAGAGAAGCCAATGAACCTAACAGTTATATTTTTGGACTGTGGGAGGAAGCCCGCACTGAGAATCGAACAAAAGACCTTCTTGCTGCAAGGGAGCAGTGCTACCCACTGCATCACTGTGCAGCCCTGATGGAGGATTAAAAGGCATAATAAAGTATCAGATACCAAGATCGTTGAAGTGGGAGGTAATGCTTCAGAAGTTGAAAGATGAGTGATGTTTTATTTGGAGCTACCACCAGGTGGCGATGGCATACAGCAATGTATATTTCTGCTGCTGGCGCCTGGTGCAAATATTCTTTAGAGGTCAAAAAAGACTCAACTGTTAGACCTATACTGCTTTTTGAGGTTGAACATATGCAATTTGTGTTTTTTTAATAATTATAGTATAGTCAAACAAACCTTTTCCTTGTTCTCACCACCTCAAGAACAAGTTTCTTGGTTCTCATGAAGCATGTAAAAAGCTGAAGAGATACAGATGGACTTGCAATGTATAAAAACCTATTTCACCTGTACAGATAGAGACAAGCAGGGACATTTGTTTTTTCCTGAAGCTTGTTATGCATGAAATGAGTTTAAAACAAACCTGATGGATTTGTATTTCATTTCATTGGACATGATGTGAATCTGTTTTCATTCACTCTTGTTTTTCTCAAGGACAAGAATGTGTGGCACCAAAAACACGTTTAGAGGTTTAGAATTAAAATTAAATTTTAGCACTGAAAGTGAATCTTGTCCAGCTGAAGTATCAATGCAATAAAACACATTTTCTGACCCTAGTCAAGTAATAAATGAAGAAAAGTAATAAATGATAAGGATTATTGCATTTACTGGAAGAACCTATCATGTGTTTATCCTCGCTTATCATTTACTTTTCTCTGTCAAAGGTCTAACGTTATGATTCAAGGAATATTTCAGTTAGTAAAGTATTTGTTATCACACACTTTATATGTAAACTTTATTACTGTTATATGCCATTTATGCAGTACAAAGTTCTGTAGAGCAATGTTTCAAAGTCAAGCATAAGATTGTAAAAGAGAAGTATTTCCAGCTTTATGTCTGTTTTACAGGTTGATAAAAGTAAGCGTTCTGTGATAGGAAAAGATCTTGTTGACTAACCTCCAGAAGCCATATTTTACACTTTACCTCTGGTAACCTGATTTTGGGAAACACCTTCCTGGGAAAATTAAGGAAAGTAAATATATCTTTATAGTTTCTTAATATATTTGATCTAAAGAAATAAATCAGACTAACTACATAAGGAATGTGTTTGCTCTTTATTTTCCCAATATTAGATAAAAATAAATGTGCTACCATATAAAGAATCAAAAGGCAAAGCTCTCTATTTCACCATCTACATTCCTACCCTGCAGCACTGCCCAACTAGAGCAGTACAAACCGATTGCCCTGCAGACAAACCTCTCTGCAGAAGATAAATCCTGTCCCGAGTCTCACCAGCAGAGTTCTAGGATCATGAGTTATCCATCATATAGGAAGGAATCCATGTTGAGTTGAAAAAAAAAAACAAAGTGCAATTTGCAATATTGGTCAGATACTTCAACTGCAATAAAATATAAACTATGTTTATTACCAGAAAAATAAATTATAGAACTTGAAAATGGCTGAAACAGGAATGTGCAACAAATCTCTGAACTTCATTGGAAAAATTCTATATTTTTTGGGGGGAAAAAGACAAGATAAGGATAAGAAAGATATTTTTTCTCAATAGGTTGAACAAAATCAAACAACTCTTTGTTAACTTTTGATTTTTTAAATTATTTTAATTAAAAACATAAGGCCATACAGATGTGCCATTTATACTCTAATTCCAAGCTTTTTTTCCATATCCCTGCTATTTAGAAATGTTTTAATCATGTTCCTTGTT